CCTCGTAAAATTTTAATTGAAATTAATCCTTGTTCAATACCTCCTGCGAGGTTTTTGTGGTAATAAATACACAAGAATGCAGCTCATTGCCACTATGCCATCATATGTGTTTAATGTATCTTTTGACTGTAAATAAATACTTATAAAAAATTGTATTTATCGTCAGTACTTCATTGCAATTAGCTCTTTGTTTTTTGAGGGATATTCGTAATTCTATTTGTACAGCGTGGGTTAATAAGGGCGATCCTCCATTAAAATTTCTGTGTGTTTTGTTCTTGTTTTGTTGAATCAGGATATGTACAACATGCATAGAGGTTTCAGTTTAAAACAACTCCGTTAAAAATAATTGTACCACAAAAATGCATCTAATTGTTTGAATAGTTTTGTTAGAACTCTCAAAATTCACATAATTGGAGCTTCTATTAAAGAACACAAAACAATTAAGAATCATAATCAAGATCGCAATTTGTGTTGCTAAAATTGGATTTAGCAATTTAAAGTAGAGCGAAATTCTTAGTGCAAGATGTCATACTGACATCCGAATTGGTGGCCAATTAAAACCCATTATATTTGACACGCTTTTGTTTAATAAACAAATGCCCTATTTCGCTCAATAAAAATTTATCGCACCATAAATGGGATCTACTGTACGTTGCATTTTCTGGTGCGAGACATTACCATAGGTCCTAAATTTTTTATATAAAAAAATACAAGGGAAATGTGGAATTCTCCAACTTGTTGGATGTCAAATAAGTAAGGACTTTTTGAAGCATAAGTAATCTGTGATTTACCACCGGAATAATAATTTAAGTTTTTTTTGTACATTCTACGTTGTTACTGGAAGCTGTCTTTTTTTTTTTCAGTAACATGTCGAAACTTTGTGCAAAACAAGAAAAAAGCGAAATGCGTTAAAACTGTCGTATATTCGGTCATCTAATACTTAAATAATAAATCACAAACAAATCCAAATTATTTTTACTTCTCCATCATATTCTGTAAAATGTTTCAACTTAATATTTGAATAGGACGTTTTTTTGTAAAAAGTACAAACAATAGCAAAACTTTGCTATACATATAACGAAAATTTTGATCTTCGTTGTTTTACGTTTTCCTTGCAAGTTTAACATTCCAGAAGTTGAAAAGCATAAAATTCTTCGTGTTGAAGTTTTGCGGGAACTTTGTAAAACTAGCCTTATCAAGAGCTTGTTACTACCACAAAATTTCAGTAGGTTGTGGTTAAAAGTTATCCATAAAAAAACAACACCCAAAAGATCGTCTTTAGTGCACGATTTTCTTATTAAGTTTAATGTAATTTAAGCTAAATGTATATTTTTCAAGTATTTGCTGGTAAAATTTCGGCATTAAAATATGCCACACTCGGTACAAAAACAATCGCAGTTTTACTTATTTTTCAAAGTATCAAAAAATTTTGTACAGTATTCGTGTCTCTGAAAAACTTTTAAATATTTTCATTTAGCGCTAGACCCATTTTATAGGTTTTCAGAATCGTCATATTGTTCTACAATTTGAGTTAACAGCATAATTTTTTTCGGCGGTCATTGTTATGTTATTGTGATTCGAGAATCTTTCAGCAAAGAACTATTAAAACCATTTATGAAATAACTCGATGAATTCAGTTGATATTCTACAACCCTTAAATTAATGTTGTCTTTTCATTAAAATTTCGAAGAAGCCTGCCTTGTAAGCTCTGAAATAAATTGTAAATTTTAAGGGTCCGAACTTAATTTACGACAAAATTACTCTCGTTTTGTGAAGCAGGTTAATGTTTTAGTGCTTTATCAGCGCTACCATAAAATAATCAATCAACATAATAATTATTCATGGACCATTGGTCGCCAAGAGCTACGACGATCGATTCGATGCAATACAATTAACGCTCCATTTTTTAAATTTTACAGAAAATTTTAAATTCAGAGAATGAAATATGAATTTTGTATAGCTAAAACTGTTCTTTGTTGCATAATTCAGTAGTTAGAATTGTTTTCTAAGCATAGGTAGGTATATGTTGCGATGTATATTTTATGTAACCTTTGTTTGAGATGGCGTTATCGATTTTTTGTTAGTGTTTTATCATTTCCACCACAATGTGAAGGGGTAATTAAAATTTGAGAGCAAACTTGTCTAATAAATTTCAACAGACAGAAATAAATGGAAGACATACATTGTCGAGTTCTATAAAGTGCAAAGCGCCAAGAAACGATGAAATTAGACATTCGTCAAAGTCATTTTATTCTATATTAAGCTATCTAAGCTTTTCATGTTATATATAAAGGAGTTTTTCACAAAATATCAAATAAACTGTAAATTTTTAAACTCATTTAATTAGCTGAAAAATACTCTCACTTCTGCTGAAAACGAAAGAAAATTCTTGTGATTAAAACTGAGTCGAGAAAGTTTTTCGTTGAAAATTATATTTATATTTAGTATAAACACTTTTATATTTAATGAAGGTTAAGATCATTCTAACCTTGTGTATGAAAAGATTCTTCGGCTGCCACGTTGTAACCGGGATCGTTAAAAGCCAGAGAATTAAAATACACTTTTGTTCATAAGACGACAGTTTAGTAATTCAAGGCTTGATAATTAATTGTACACAAACTTCGAAGTACAATGCGGGTTCTTATGGAAAGTTTATAACACGTTTGTACCAAGAATTTAATAATAATTATAAATGTCGGTTTATGAAATTACATGAGTTCTGGTTATGTTGAAAACTATGTCGTGACTCTTTCAAATTTTTGCTCTCTCTACTATGCCATTTTTTCAATTATTACGTCATCTATTTTTGCAAAATTATCAGTTTAATATAAATAGAAACTAACTAATTTTTCCTTAAATCAATAAAAATTGTATTTCAAATATGCCAGTATTATAGACCAACACAGCTCAAATACTTAAAATCATAAAGACTTATTCTTGGTTTCATAGTTTGAGGTATCCATATTTTTTTGTAACTGACTTTCTCGTTATGTTGTGAAATTCAAACTGCTTTCAATAGGTCAAATAATAATACTTCCTTTAAGCTAAATTACTTGCACTTTTGAAGGACGTGCTTTGTTATGATAAAAATTTTGCTGAGGATTCGGTAGATTTTTATTAAATGGACTATATTTACGAAAACGTCCTGCGTGTCAAATAAGAAATAAATGAAATGTATGTTCCATATTCCAAATAGCATATTTTTATATAACTTTAACTTGTTAATGTAGTATAACATAGTTGTAAGGAAAATTATAAACTTTAACTCCGCCAACACACAATTAAGAGGCATGTTTAAACTGAGACTTTTTTAAATAATATCTTTGATGTCGTCATCAGCTTTCTAGTGGGGACAAATATATTAATTTTGAAATCTGCGGTAAAATATTATTAACAACACCACAAACATTTCATTCATTAATTTCTTTGAATCATGTTGTATAAGCAATTCTAAAAACTAAATCTATTACCACAGCACAAACAACAACAATTTTAACAGTCTGACATGATGTCATCGATTTTTTGAAATCTTAGTCGATATTTTGTTGCTAAACCAATGTTAGTGTCTTTCGAAAATTTTAAAGAAGACACCATAAAATTTTAATCGGCAAATTTTATTTATTTAGCAATAATTCGTACTCATACGGATACATTACTAAACCACATGAAAACAAGTATATTATGCTAAAATTTTCTGAATTGCTGAACAAAATTTTTAATTACATCTTTTTTGTGGTTAGTGTTTTACCATCCACATGATATCTTAAAATACATCAAAAATTTAAAAGTATGATTTCTGTAGTTTCCGACATTATCTCTAAGGAACATTTTTCAGGAGTGTAAATTAAAAAAAAAGCAAATAACGAAAATCCCATTGTTGGTGTAGCAAACACATAATTTTTGTGTATTAATAAAAAATAAAGAACCTAAGCTCTAAAAGCATAAATTACAGATTCTTGGTTGAAAAAACAAACACAGAAATTACCAATTACGGTATACATATGTGGTCTGCAGTTAAGGATGGACAGTAAATAAATAGAGTAATATAATTTTAGTTAGAGTTTGAATTAAATTTAAGACCGTAGTGAAACAATTCGTCTGTATCCAGTGTGGAAAACGATTAAAATGTAAAAATAACGCCTTAGTAACCAAGTCTTAAAAAACTAGTACGGTCCTGTTCCGTCTCGAATTAGTATAATTGACACGAGCCACGAGCAATAAGAGTTAATTATTTATAAATAATGTATACGTCACTGTCAATGACCTTGACAATCAATTCTCGATGATTATGATAATTAGCATTAATCATCTTGTGTCCTGGTTAGGTGAATCTTTAATGCGTAATAATAAAACATCATTTTCGAAGACTTATAAATCAGAATAATTTTTTTCATCAAGAAGAGAAACTTTTTTTCTTAATGTCACCATATAAGTAAAATTTTGCTCTTGCTTCCGTTTAGAATTCCATACGAAATCACTTTTATCAGTGAAAGTAATTTTTTCTTACTTCGCGTTTTTATCAGCGCCGTGTACTTTCTAAACTCACATTTCATAACAATATTTTTTAAACAAAACAACTAAAATGTATGTACTTAAACAAGTTCCAGACAATCACTACACTTGTTGTAAAACGCGTCACTTTCAAGCTTTAACAAAAATTAAAAAACTATTAAGTAAATTTTCTTAATTTTTGTCACACCATACATCATCTCGCCGTCAAAAACCACTATAACCTTGTTAGCAAAAATTGGATTCTCCTAAAACCCTCAATTTTACACAAAGTCATAAACTTTATGGATTATCATCGCATCCATCTACAACGTCGTCGTAAAACACATTCCGTAGCACTCAATTTGCGAGCGATCACTCATATTTAAAATTTCCAAGCATCTTAGAAGTTATCACAACTATTCCAAAGAAAGAATATTCACCGTATATTCCCACGCCACCCTCGACCTGTCACTCACATTCACACCGCAACACTCTCACACCAACGTTACCGTAGTCAATGAGCATGTGATTAGGATGGTTCTTCAACAGCTCCGACATATCGGAGAAGTAGAGCCCCCACTCGCTGAGGACGACGTTGACGCTGTTGACTGTCAGTATCGAGACGGCCATGTAGAGGATGAACTCCTGGCGTCGCGGCGACAGGCGTCCCAGACACGCCAGCATCCCTCCGACGATGCCGATTATCACGTTCTGAAACAAAAAGCGGATTAGATAGATTGGGTCGAAGGACGGAGGACGTCACTGCCTCGACCCCGGAGTCATGCGAGAGAAATCCGGGTGTTATGTCATTTCAAAGATACCCGCGGGTTAAAGCAGGTGATTACATTGCAGACTCGTCGGTTGGTAATACTGTAATGGGAAATTAATTTGTTATATGATCGTTGGCGTAATGAAACAGGTGGCAGTTTCGAAATTAAAAACAAATTGTGGGTAAATAAATTGAATGAAAAAGTCTGTGAAGTTATTTACACAGAGGTTTCCCAATTTTTTCAGTATCAGCGTTCATTTTTTACTGCTAAAAAGTATTTGATGAATGTTTGAAAAGGATTTAACATGTCGGTGATAAAACCACGCTGATAAATATCAAAAAATGGCACTTTTTATAAGATTTTTAATGAAATATATAGCATTATTCCACTTTCAATATTTTCTGGAAGTCGACGATGTAATTATTATTTCTCCAGGAAGCAACAGTTGTTAAAGTCACAGCTATATTGGTTAATAAATTAATGTAAAATTTAAACAAAACTAAAAATCAATTTATAATGATTTTAGTTTTTGCCTTTTTAGGCATCTATGTCAAATATCAGGTTTACAAAATTACAAAAACTTTTCTATGACATAACATTAGATGCAGCATTAAACCTATATTTCAGAGAAAATATACGGATTCAATTCCATGGACGACTCGATTACAAATTATGTCGGATATCTACGATATTAAATTAAGTTAGGACTGAAAACGTGCAAGATTGAAATAGAAAATATGCAGAAGAAACGCGAGATAATGGCAAACAATAATAAATTCAAGAAAATGGGAAAAAAGATTACTATATTTTATATAAATAACGAATTAACAAAGAAGAAATATCGTCGCCTGAGAACTTGTTTGATCCACAGATCGAAGTACACTCAGGCCAATGTCGACTCTAAGTGTTGAGAATTTCTGTGCTTTTATTTACAAACATAAAATCACATCTCATATGTTTCAAGCGATTTTGACAAGCAACAAATATTTTTTTTAACTAAGAATCAATTCTTTCATTTTTGTTCAATTCTTACATATTTTTAGTCACAATTTTGGTGGTTATGTTTCCATACTTTCGATTTTTCGACTTCTCAACTTTTCGACTCCTCAATTTCTCGATCTTTTGATTTTTCGATTTCGCGATGTCTCAGTTTTTGAATTTTTCGATGTTTCGGTTTTTCGATTTGTCGGTTTTTGAATTTTTTACTTTTCATCTTTTCGATTTTTGAATTATTCGATTTTTCAATTTTTTTGATGTTTGGATTTCGCCATTTTTCAATTTCACGATATTTTAATTTTTCAATGTTTTAAATTTTGGATTTTTCGATTTTTCAGTTCTTCAATATTTGTTAAATTTTCAAATTTTGACGTTTCTGAATTTTCAGTTTTTCGATTTCTCAATTAATCTATTCTTTTATTTTTCCATTTCTCGACTTCCCAAAGTTTAGATTTTTCAGTTTTTAGATTTTTTAAGTTCGTGATTTTTCAGCTTTGCTTTTTTGACTTTTCGATTTCTCAATTTTTCAGTTTCTTAATTTCCCAGTTTTTGGTTCAATGTTGTGATTTTTTTTATTTTTTCGATTCTCCAATTTTTCTTCTATTTTTCGATATTTCAGTTTTGGGATATTTTAGTATTTCGACTTTTAGATTTTTTGAGTTCTGGATTTTTAGATTTGTTGAGTTTTCAGTTCTTCTATATTTCAATTTTTCAATATTCAGAATTTTTAAATTTTCGATTTTCCAATTTATTTTTTAATTTTTCGATGTTTCGAAATAACGAGCGTTCATATAAAAACGACGTCAAGCTGGCTTTGTAAATGTGAATTTAGGGCTTAGTGAATAATTCGTTCACATTTCCAAAGCCACCTTGACGTCGTTTTTATTTCAACGGTCGTTATAAATAGGCCAGAATCGCGAAATCGAAAAGTTAAAAATGGAAAAATTGATAAATCGAGTGAGTGAACAATCAAAACATCGAAACATCCAAATCTCGATAAATCGAGATCTCAAAAAATTGAAAAATCGAAAATATAAAAATTCGGAAAATCGAAAGATTAAAATATGTATAGAAGAACTGAAATTTGAAGAAATCGAAAAATGTAGAATTTTAAAAATTGAAAAATTACAATATCGAAAAGTTGAAAAAGTGAGAAATCGAAATATAAAACAGTCGAAAAATTGAAAAATCTAAAGTTTAAAAAACGAAAAACTGAAAATCCAAAAAATAAAAAATTGAAAAGTCGAAGAATCGAAATATTTAAAAATCCCAAAACTGAAAGAAACATCCAAAAATTGAGAAATTAAAAAATTGGAAAATTGAGAAACCGAGAAATCAAAAAAGTAAAGTCGAAAAATTGAAGAATTGAACAACTGAAAAATCGAAACTTTGAGCAGTCAAGAAACGGGAAAATCAAAAATAGATTAATTGAGAACTCGGAAAACTCAAAATTTAGCAACGTCAAAATTTGAAGAATTTGAAAAATAGAAATACTGAAGAACTGAAAAATCAAAAAATAAAAATTCGAAATTTTAAAATTTAAAAATCGAAAAACTGAAAAATCGACAAATCGAGAAATCGAAATCCCAGAATTTAAAAAATTGAAAAATCGGATAAGTGAAAAATCGAAACATCGAAAAATCGAAAAGCCCAAAAGTAAAAAAAAAACGAGAAATCCAAAAATCGAAACATCGAAAAATCAAAAACTGAGACATCGAGAAATCGAAAAATCAGAGGATCGAGAGATTTAGCAGTCGAAAGCGGAGAAGAAAAATTAAAAATTGAAAAAATGATGAATCGAGAAATTGAACAATCAAAACATCGAAGCATCTGAATTTGATTAATTGAGAAATCAAAAAATTGGAAAGTCGAAAAATTTTAAACAAGAAAAATTGGAAAATCGAAAATTTAAAAATTCGGAAAATTGAAAAATTGAAATAAAGAAGAACTGAAACTCGAGAAATCAAAAAACTTAGAATTTTAAAAATTGAACAATTAAAGTATCGAAAAGTTGAAAAATTAAGATATCGAAATTTAAAACGGTTGAAAAATTGAAAATCCAAAAAGTAAAAGAAAGAGAAATGAAAAACTCCAGGGGACCAAAAAGCGAAAATCAAAAAATCTAATTATTGAAAAATCCCAAAAATGAAAGAAATATCCAAAAAAAACTGAGAAATTGAAAAAAAAGGTAAATTGAGACATTGAAAAATTAAAAAAGCAGTCGAAAAATCGTAAGCTTAAAATATCAAAACTCTGAAAAATAGAAAAATTGAAGAATTGAAAAATCGAAACAATGGGAAGTCCAAGAATGGGAAAATAAAAAAAGATGACTTCAGAAATCGGAAAACTGAAAATTTAGAAACGTCAAAATTTGAAAAATTGAAGTGGTCAAAAACTGAGAAACCATATCATTGAAACAGGAATATTGAGAAATCGAAAAATAAAAAAATAAAAAATTTGAAAAATAGAAAAATTGAAAAAGCCCAAAATTGAAATATGTATTGAAAAATTGAGACATCTAAAAAATCTCAGATTTAAAACACTGAACAATTAAAATATGGCAAAATTGAAAAATCGAAAACAATAATAATATTAAAATAATAATAAAATAATAATAATAATTTACTAAAAATAGACATGACGAAGATAAATTAAGAATAATTCTGAAAAAGAAGACAGAATGAAACAAAAGATGAATAGTTACAAAGAAAATATCAAGAAAAATATCAAAAAACACTAAATGCAAAGTTAAAAAAATCAAAAAAGACTTGGAATAGAAGAAAAGTGGAACTAATTCAAAAATAGCATGTTGGATGCAGTAAGAACGAGAGGTGGAACAACAAAAATAACAAAACATTGGTCGAAAGTTTTTTCTACAGAACTTTCTTCGCCTATAAAGAATAGTCGAACAAATATACTGCCGTGCTAAACAAAAACAACGTAACTGCAATTTTGGGCGATTTTGAGTTTGTGGTATTTTTAAATTAAACAAGTTTCAAGGATTGTCCAGGTATATAATTATTAAATTCTAAGCTATTTTTTATTTAATAATTGCATAATTAGTAATTCAAAGAGGTAACCCAATTTTCAAACGCCATTATCTCGAAAACGGCGCGAATGCAGATACGTTGTTTTGGTTTAGCACGGCAGTATAGTTTCTTTGAAAAATTATAAAAGTTAATTTTGCAGAATAGGTACATCAGTTTGAACATGTGCAGTGTAATACTATTAAAACTACAAGGAAAGAGTTTATTTTGCTTATTTTAGATAGGATTGCTTCTACAAAATTTTGACATGACGTCATAAATTTTTAGAAGGGGGTAAACGGATACGTTTTGATTAAGAATTCACGATGCTTACGATAAGGTTAAATAAATCAATTTTGATTTTTTTTTTCCAAAATCTGGATGTCTAGGATAAACCACTAGGTACAGGAGTATCTTATTTTATAAAATTTAAATATATTTATGTAGTAAATTTTGGAGATGACGTCATTCCATTGATCGTGGGAATAACTAGACAATTTTAGTTAGCGTTCTACCAAATACACGATATTTCTAATTTACATATAAAATGTCATAACGAACGATCCAGTAGTTCCGGAGAATATCAGCGTAATAAAAATTGAGACAGACGACAAACGACAGACGCAAATGGGAGATCTATTTTTCCGTACTTTAGGGGTCAATAAAAGTCTGGACAACCTGAAAGCAGCGATTCGTTGGAGGGACCCTATTACAATACTTCCTTAGTTTACGGCAAAAAAAGGCAAACGGACAGGGTGGGGGACCGCAGTAATAAAACAAATAATTAAAGAGAAAAAAGATAGTTGGAAAATATGTGCAATAAATACAAAGGGGGAAAACGACAATAAACCAGAAAAATAAGAATCGGGAGATATACAAAAAATAAATATGAAGACAAACCTCGAAGAAACCAAAACTA